TAATAAAAATATATACAATATATATATATAAAATATATACAATATATAAAATTTTATAACATTTTTACCAAGAATAATAATAATAACAAAATATAAAAACATTTATTAAATGATATTTGATAAACATTATAAAAACTTTGCAGCAATAATGTCAACAGAAAATATATATTTAGAGAGAAACACATATTTGAAAATGCAAAAATTATATTTTTATAGAGAATGTGATAAAGAAAATGTAATATTTTAAATCTGGATGTTCAAAACAGCACCGCAATCATGACAACAAATCACTCAGACTACTTTTCCCTGCGTTTTATTAGCAGATGATCAAGATCTTAGCTGTCAGACAGTGTGAAATGTAATACAGAGCAGCAGCGAGACACAGAGCACGAGTTTGGTGTCCAGATCACGTCCACCTGCTGCTCTGTGTCTTTCTCAAGTCCACAGAGAGGGATTCACACCTTTAATTTGTGTAAACCTGGGCTCTCTGCTGTGTGGAAAACCAATACAGTGTCAAAACAGTCAAGCCGGGATTGACTCTCTCTCTTTCTCTCCCCCTCTCTCTCTGGATACAGCATTATGAGTCAGCTTATTTGGCCAGTATAAGGCCTTTGTGTGGAGACAGGGGACGACACTGGACACTGGAGGACTCAGGAAAACAAGTCAACCTGATTTTTAAGTGGCTTCAGCTGGAACTAGTTGAAAATAGCAGCTTTGTGTGTAAACAGAAGATGTGAGAAACTCAGACTCGTGTGAATAGTCTAAATTGAGTCAGCAAGCAGTGGGAGAGGTGTAATACACGACTGGATAATTGAGAACGTTTGTCACGACAAGGTAGGAGTTTGTAGTCGTTTCACTCCATTCATTAGTAAGCAAAGGACTCGTAGATGTATGTATTAACAAATACAGTGTAATGATATCATTTATTATATGATTTATAAGTCATACTTTGTACTTTTTAAACTTTTTTATCTGCTAACGTGATACTTATGAGGTGGATTTTCATGTTTTTACTGTTTCTATACATTCAAATGATACATTTTTGAGTCAATTTTACGTTTTCAATAAAGTAGTTTGACTAAAAATGTACACTTTTTGAAATTTATTTACATTCATGTTCTTGTCGGTGGCTTTTTTTTCAGTTGAACATAAAACTGTGTTGCTTTGTGATTCATAAATGCAAATTAAAGGCTGATGGCATTTTGAGAGTCACAATTTGTTTTGGGACTAGATAACATGAATACCCCTGGCTACTGATGATACATTGAGGTTTTATAAACCAAATAAATATAAAAAATGAACATTATGTACAACATTAATACCTTTAATCCACTGCCTTCGGGAAATGAACATGAGTGCATTCATGACAATCTGGAGCACTACACTGAAAAAAATAATGTCTGCAAAATTGCTACAAACTATTTTTATGTGTTGAATTTAAACAGACAAATTATATTTAGTAATGTTCAACTTAATTTGTTTTTTAAATTCAGTTTAAATAGATAGTTTACAACCACTTCACTTTTTAGTGAATCCAAGAAATCTTCTTTGAATAATTTTTCAGTGTACTTGACTTGTTTCTCTGGACTTAAACCTTATTAACATGTAGAGCAAAACATATTATTTGTTTACTCTTTAAAATACTGATGACATTATTTCAACATAACAAATTTATAATTTTTTTTTATTTAGAACTTTTTGTTTTTAATTAACAACAAAAAAATGCCATGTTTTTTAGACATTTACTTTCATTTTAGACAATTCATTATCAAAGTTTATTTTAACTCCAGAAGAGTTGAGTTTAGAACAATATTTAGTTGAATTATCCCGATTTTCGATCACAATTTACAACAAATGAAGACATTTTTATTCTGACCATTAGTTATTTTTTGAATAACTGCTATAAGCTTCAATGTTTTTATTTGAAATATGAAATATGGTTATCAAACCTTAAAAGAATAAAACTCATAGTAACTATTACTCAAACAAATGCCTAATAAATACAAAGAAAATGACAATTTTAAGTGGTCTTTTAGAATTTAATACTATACTACCTGACAAAAGTCTTGTCGTCGATTGTGTAAGAGCAACAAATAATAACTTGACTTCTAGTTGATCATTTGGAAAAGTGGTAGAAGGTAGATTTATTCCGATGAATCATCTGTTGAACTGTATCCCAATCGTCATAAATACTGCAGCAGACCTATTGGAGCCCACATGGACTCAAGATTCTCATTGAAATCAGTCAAAATTGGTGAAGGAAAAATCATGGTTTAGGGTTACATTCAGTATATGGGGGTGTGTGAGAGATCTGAGGTATCAAGACATTTGTGCTGCTTATTACATTTCAAACCACATGAGAGGGCAAATTCTTCATCAGGATAGCGCTCCTCATACTTCAGCCTCCACATCTGAGTTCCTAAAAGAAAAGAAGATCAAGGTGCTCCAGGATTGGCCAGCCCACTCATCAGATATAAACAATATTGAGAATGTCTGGGGTAAGATGAAGAAGCAGGCATTGATGATGAATCCAAAGAATCTTGATGAACTCTGGGAGTCCGGCAAGAACACTTTCTTTGCCATTCCAGATGACTTTATTAATAAGTTATTTGAGTCATTGCAGAGATGTATGGATGCAGTCCTCCAAGCTAATGGGAGTCATACACAATATTCATTCTTTTTTCACTGCACCATGACTTTATATTCTATATAATGTATATGTATAATGTATATGCACATTATTTATTTTAAGTAACCAGACTTTTGTCTAAGCAAAGTCAGATCTTGCTGTCCTAATTAAATAATTTAAAATGAAGGCATGATGATATTTTATTTTAGTAAAATAAGCATAAACTAGAGGCCTTTGCCTTTCATATAAGCCACTTCTGATACCAAATAAGTGAGTAAATTCCCAGAACATTTTCATTTTTAAGTTTATTTTTATTATTCTTCAACAATATGCTTTCTAACAGAATCACAAAGGCACTTTAGACTGATTTATTAATAGTTTGAGATTTCACAACATGCACTTTTAACTATACATCTTTTTTACTGTTTGCAAGTTTTATTTTATCCTATCCTTTACTGTTGTCTTTTTTGGCACCAGTGCTACTTTGTAATGTGGTGTTTAAAGCTCTCTTTTTCACTCCATTGAGCTGTAGTAAATTGTCACTATTGCGTTTTTTTAAGCGTGGAGTGCTGAGGCTGTTTATTTATAATAATGAATTGAAGTGAAACATCGTCATGATGCAGAATGTTTTCTCAATTACACCTACACCAGACTTTCCCTTTAGAGATGAGCAATAAATAAAGCCTGTGCGTGATAAAGATAAAATAATTGAAAAGTTGCTGTGCTGTAAATTGACTTTAGCAGATGCAGGAGACATTCAGCGTTCAGTGAACAAACAAATCCAACTATTTGTTTTAGACTAATATTTTTTAGACTAATATTTTTTAGACTAAAAAAATAAATACAGAAAATTATTAGATGATTCAGGTTCTCTATAAAATTGATTAGCATTATACAAAATATTTTTCCCATTCATAGATGCTGTTCATTCAATAAAATAGAATAGAATAGAAAATATTCATATTTTCACAGTGCAATTTAGGAAATATGTACATGATTTTTAACAGCTAAAATTAGAAAACATTGTTTGTTCACATGAGAACTGGTGACCTGAAATTTTGAGCACCTAAAAATGTAAACTTATGAAAACTTTAAGCTCTATTTTAATGATCTAGGCGCAAAGTCTAAAACGAATGGTGCAAAAGCATTAAGGGTGTGTCCGAATCCACTTGCTATTTTAAGGATGGAAAAATACGCTTAGCGCCGCTGCGCATGATCTAACAGGGTTGTGCTTATTTTAATGAGTTATGGGTGTGTTTTGTGAAACACATTGTGTTTTGTTGTGTAAAGCATACGCTGGATAAGTTGGCAGCTCAATCCGCTGTGGTGACCCCTGATGAATAAAGGGACTAGGTTGAAGGAAAATGAATGAATGAATTTTTGTTTTGCATAAAATGATCATTATAACTATAAAATAGTCCATGTTTTCACAGCCTAAATATTAAAAAGTAAATGTGAACACATTAAATATTTTTAGAACACTTTAAAGTCAAATCTGTAGTTTATACAATTGAAAAAGTTACTCAAAAACACATTTTAAAGGCCACCCTAGAGAAATCAGTCCTTAGTTTGATTTATTTGTTTCTTTATTGATTCATTTATTTATCATTTTTCTTACTACTCTTTCTGGATTCTCACATTTACTTGTTTAATTTATAAAAGCTCTGCGTAACAGAAACCTATAAGTAAACATGGAAATGAATGTAGTAAATATTTAAATAAAAAGACATAATTTTGACAGCTTTGTCATCTATGGGCTACCTATATTTGTTTCCATTTTTAGTATATGCATTTGTCACATTAAAGCACTCTTATTCTTATTTCAGTATTTGCATCTTCAAATAACGAATTGCTCTTGGTTTAGTATGCGTTTGTTGAACAGGTATACTATAAAGCAGTCTATTGTTCTTCTCTGTGTGAATCATTTGGCTCAGCTCTCTCCAATAAACTGAAGCAGAGTCAGCGTCTGTCCATTCCGGCTGGGTAATTTCTAATTTGTGTTTAGGCTTCTGCACCTGCACCCTGTGGCATGAGGTTAAGCTGGACTATAGTGAAAGTGTCCCGCACACCTGTCCTCTCACATCAAACCCTCTGGAGCCGAAATAGGGAAATAAGCGTGTTACTGCGCAGCTGTCGCATGTCTCATCACTGGTACTTACCTAATGAGTGCGCGTTGAGCACGTTTTGCAGTCTCATAACAGGTCTAGAACATTCCATCATTGTCCTTCATCAGAAATGGATGATGAACTGCTCCACAACTTCAGCCGTGTCTGGATCACAGTCTAACAGCAGAGGATTAAAGAGATTGTTATATCACTGTAACACTGTCTGAATCACCTTTTTCTGTTTCTTCTTTTCTCTCTGGCTCTAGGATTTTCAACATGTGATGTTTAAATGCATTTCCAACAAACACTGAGCCCATCATAGAGACCCACCTGAACAAAAATCTGGTTATGAGAACTGGCACAACAGAAGTCCCTTGGTGAGCATAACTGAACAGATGACATGTAATAGTACAATATTAATCTTATAAAAGGGTGGCCTTTCTGTGGCTCAGTGGTTAGCACTGTCACCTCACAGCAAGAAGGTCACTGGTTCGAGTCCCGGCTGGACCAGTTGGCCTTTCTATGTGGAGTTTGCATGTTCTCCCCATGTTCGCTTGGGTTTCCTCCAGGTGTTCCGATTTCCCCCACAGTCCAAAGACATGCACTACAGGTGAATTGAATTAACTTAGTTGTCTGTAGTGTATGTGAGTATAAATAAATGTGTTTGGGTGTTTCCCAGTATAGGTTGCAGCTGGAATCATAAAATGCATCTGCTGCATAAAGCATATGCTGGAATAGTTGGTGGTTCATTCTGCTGTGTCGACCCATGATAATCAGGGACTGAGCCTAGGGAAAATAAATGAATAAACAGTGTTATGAGAACAGAAACAAGTCATTTGTCTTCAGATTTCTTGTACTGTAGATACTTAAATGTATTTCTAGTGCTGTTGAATTGACTGATTGATAACAATTGGGACCACTTCAAAGTTATTATTGATTCTGTAGATTTGCCTTTATTAGATGTATATTTGTTTTTTGGGTAAAATGATTAATTGTGTTTTATTTTAGAAACTATTGATAATCTGCTTGTTATTTCAAATAAAAATATTATCATTTAGAGCATTTGTTTGCATTAAAGTAGCAAATGTCAATATAAAATATTCCATGTTTTCAGACCTTAAAAGTTGAAAAAAAAGTGGACACGCAAAATTTGTAGAAAACTTTGAAGACAAGTTATTTTTAGTCTTAAAAAGAAAAGAAAACTGAAAATTTATTCAAAAACTCCTTTTAAAGGGCAAAACTAGAGAAAAGACCAATAAAATAACTAATTTCCTGATTTTTCTAGACTTATTTGGTTTAGTCAGTTACAGAACACAATATATTTCTTAGTACAGATTAAGTCATTAATTAAAAATACATTGTAAATGCATCTCAAAGAGTGTGGAGGATCACGTGCTTATGATCAACACGGCTGGAAACTCATTAGCTCTGTAATCTGCTCTGTTAGATGATTACGGAAGCATTATAAATAACCAAAGTTTTTCACTCCAGTTATCTTTTCCCCTCTTCCTCCTCTACTTCCCACCTTTTTTTCCGATCGGGCGACACTGCGGCCCAGTGGCTAGCACTGTTTTGCACCAGTTGGCGCTTTTGGGCGTAGTTTCTATGTTCTCCTGTGTTTGCTTGGGTTTCCTCCTGGTTCCCCAGTTTCCTCTCACCGTCTAAAAACATACATTATAGCCAATCGACTAAACCAAATTATCACCCAAGACAACCTTAGATTAAAATGCTCACACGGCGACAAGCAAGGGAGTTCTCGAGACCTACCTGAGCTCGAACTCCCCTCTAACGGGTGGGAGCCCCAGGCTCAAGGATATTACGAGGTCAGGGCTATCTCCCGGGACAGCGTGCCAATTACGCTCTATTGATTTTAAGCTAAGTGTGAACTCTTAAAATACAATATACAATGTAAGGATACATATTCCAATGATAAAAATGCTTTAAATTTCAGAAATAAAATAAATGAGTATTTTTAGGAAAATTGGGAAGGGATGTCTTTACCTGACTTCAAAATCAAGACAAAAATGTAATTCCTAATCCAATATTCTTGAAATGTAAAACACAAGCACTTTAAAATAATTTAATTTAATTTAATTCTCAGAAAGAAATATTTTGACAAAACTGCCTTGCTACATATGGTTAAGATACTTATTTTTTTAATTATGAAGTATATATTTTAAAACATAATTAAGGAGCTCCCTGCCTTCATGTGGGTTTCCTCCGGGTGCTCTGGTTTCCCCCACAGTCCAAAGACATGCGGTACAGGTGAATTGGGTAGGCTAAATTGTCCGTAGTGTATAAGTGAGTGTGTGAATGTGTGTGGGGATTTTTCCCAGAAATGGGTTGCGGCTGGAAGGGCATCCGCTGTGTAAAAACTTGCTGGATAAGTTGGCGGTTCATTCTGCTGTGGCGACCCCGGATTAATAAAGGGACTAAGCCGACAAGAAAATGACTGAATGAATGAATAATTAAGGAGTAAGGAGTAAACATAACAGGAGACGTGAAATTCATTTGAAAGAATCTGAATGATTAGAGTAACAACCTATCTACAGTGTTCCTTTCCTAAACTGTGTTTCTTGCATATGTTTATCTCATAGGAAGGAGGTAAGATGTTCCTGGATTTGTGTGGTCAGCGGGGCGCATGGACCGTCCTGCTGCTGTGGTGCCTGAACTTGTCAGCTGCAGACCTCCCCTGCCCTCAGAGGTGCAGCTGCTCCCGAGACCCTCTGGAGGTCAACTGCTCTTCGAGACACCTGACTGCTGTGCCTGAGGGTTTACCCACCAATGCCAAACGCTTGGATCTTTCAGGAAACCAGCTGAAAACGCTGGCTAGGCGTCAGTTCTCCAGCCTGTCAAAGCTGGAGGACCTGGACTTGAGTGAGAACATAATCTCCATGATTGAGGTGGAAACATTTCAGGGTCTGAAGAACCTGCGATACTTGAGGATTAAGAACAACCGTCTCAAGATCCTGCCAGTCGGGGTTTTCTCCGGCCTCTCCAACCTTCGACGTCTGGATATCAGTGAGAATGAGATCCTGGTTTTCCTGGATTACACATTCAGGGATATGATTAACTTGCAGCAGCTGGACGCAGGGGAAAATGACCTGGTGTTTATCTCGCAGCGTGCGTTTGTTGGGCTTCAGGCACTGAAGGAGCTGAACGTGGACCGCAGCAATCTGACCTCCATCCCAACCGAAGCTCTGTCGCAACTTCAGAGCTTGACTAAGCTGCGTCTGCGCAAGCTCACTATTAGCGTGCTGCCCAACAATGCCTTTCGCCGACTGCACCAGCTGCGTACTTTGCAGATCCTCCACTGGAGTTCTCTCGAGATGCTGAACAGCAACAGCTTGGTCGGCCTGAACCTGACCACTTTAGTTTTAACCAACTGCAATCTTAGTGCCATACCTTACTCTCCCCTGCGCCATCTTGCCTACCTGCAGTACCTTGATCTATCCTACAACCCCATCACCTCCATACAGGGCAACCTTTTGGGGGATCTTCTGAGACTCCAAGAGTTGCACCTGGTGGGTGGAAACCTGCTACGGATAGAGCCAGGTGCCTTTAGGGGTCTGTCCCGCTTTCGCTTACTCAATGTGTCCTCAAATCGTCTGTCCACACTGGAAGAAAGCGCCTTTCACTCTGTGGGGAACCTGCAGACACTGCGGCTGGACAGAAACCCGTTGGCTTGTGACTGTAGGCTACTCTGGGTGATGCGACGGCGTCGGCGGCTGGATTTTGATGGCCGGCAACCCACTTGTTCACCCCTGAATCATCAGAGGAAGGCATTTCGGGACTTCTCAGAGGCAGAGCTTCCGGTTGTTTTTACGTGCAGACAGGCGCAGATCCTGAACCGACAGCTGCAGGATATAAGCGTGATTGAGGGAATGAGAGTACATTTTGACTGCAAAGCAGATGGCTATCCATCACCGTCTATAACCTGGCTGTCAGCCCAACAGTCTGCACTTAGCTCTGCCGGGAGAGTACGAGTGCTTACTAATGGGAGTTTACAGATCAGTTATGCGCAAGTACAAGACAGTGGAACATATTTATGTAGCGCAGCTAATGCTGCAGGTAATGACAGCATCTCTGTGAGTCTGCATGTGGAGGGGCTTCCACAAAACCGCACAGTGTCATATTTCTCAGACGAGGGATGGATAGAAACTTCAGCACCTCCATCTACCAACTCCTCAGCTCGGGTGTCAAGTCCTTACCCGTTTGATGCTAAAACCCTCATCATTGCTACCACCATGGGATTTCTGTCTTTTCTCAGCTCTGTTGCAATCTGTTTTGTGTTTATGTTCTTCTGGAGTCAGAGCAAAGGTCAGATAAAACACACTGCCACAATAGACTTTGTGCCACGATCATCTATGGGTGGAGGTGGAGATGGTGGAGACACCGGAAGATTCACAATGAAGCTTATTTGAGCTGGAATGGAGAATCCATGGTTTTTCTTACACATAGTTGAGCCTTTAAAACGGTTGTACACTCTTAAAGTTTTTTTTTACAGTGATGCCATAGAAGAATCATTTAGGGTTCCATAAAGGACTTTCAGTGAATTGTTCTTCACACAAAGAACAAAATGTTCTTTTAAGAACTATGTAATAATATAAAGCACTGTTTTTTGTAACTGAAAAGAATATTTTGAGGAATGGAAAGGTTTTATGGATGTCAATGCCGAAAAAGAACCTTTATTTTTGAAGGTTTACTGTAACTCTCAAAGTGCAGAAGAAACTTATCCATCACTCATTATTAATAGTTAAAAACTATGATTTCTTAGTGATGCTATTGTAGAACTATTTTTGTTCCCCAAATAACCTATCAGTGTATGGTTCTTAAAAGAACTCATTTTTAAATGTAGAATCTAAAATGAATCTTATGGAATGAAATGATTCCTTCAATTTGAAAGGTTCTTCATGGAACCATTGATGCCAATAAAAAACTTTTTTTTTTTGATGTTGCTGCTTGTCAACACAGCAAGGTACAAAGCCTTATAACATTTTATTTGCAAGCCAGAATGGCATTTTTGTAAATAAGTATAGTATGTTATCTTTATAATTCTCTCATTTAGATTTTTTAAGCCTGAATAATATTAATGTAAATATACATTGTAAGTTTACTTTATCACAATAAAAAATGCTATTTTAGTGAAGAAATTAGGTTGGCACTATTATATAAATTTAAAGTTAAGTAGATGATGCTATCAATTAAGTCTGAAGATAAACAAAAAGCAAATACTCCTAATATCCAAAGGTAATATTTTATATTTATAAAAAATATGAATGATGTAAGTTATATCTAATATTTAATTTTTAAGGGATAGTTCGCTCAAAATTTGCTAGGAATTTACTGATGTACAGTTGAAGTCAGAATTATTAAACCCCTTGAATTATTAGCCCCACTGTTTAATTTTTTTCCCAATTTTTGTTTAACAGAGAAGATTTTTTTCAACACATTTCTAAACATAGTTTTAATATCTCATCTCTGATAACTGATTTATTTTATCTTTGCCATGATGACAGTAAATAACATTTGACTAGATATTTTTCAAGACACTTCTATACAGCCACTTATATACAAAGTGACATTTAAAGGTTTAACTAGGTTAATTAGGGTAACTAGGCAGGTTAGGGTAATTAGGCAAGTTATTGTATATTGATGGTTTGTTTTGTAGACTATCAAAAAAATGTAGCTTAAAGGGGCTACTAATTTTGAGCTTAAAATGTTTTTTAAAAATAAAAAAAATTGCTTTTCTTCTAGCCAAAGTAAAACAAAAAAAAAAAACTGAAGACAATATTATCAGACATACTGTGACAATTTCCTTGCTCTGAAAAGAAAAAAATTCAAAGGGGGGCTAATAATTCTTGTTTTAACTGTAGATGGCTGCTTTTTCATTATTTAGTAAATTATAGAAGATTTTTCACTGAATCTGTTTTGCTTTGTGATACATAAGCTGCAAGACGATGGCTACTGACACTTTAAGAGTCTATAAAAACATATGCAGACATTAACCAAGGCAATTTGTACAAGAAACAATCTATACAACATTATTACCTTTTAATACACTATTTTAATAATACTGTATTCCAGTTTTAAATATTGAAATAACTGTTAGATATCATTGTCATGTGCCCTTGATTTGAAATGTCATTGCTTGATTTTTTAGGCTCAGCTATTAGTGTAATGAATGAAATCTCTTCCTTTTGTAAGAGATCTGGCACAGTTAGCCTTTTTCGAGATATTCATTTCACTGCCAAATTAAACCAGAGCAGGTCATGCGGTTAAGCATATGACAACGCAGTTTTAGATATTTTAACTTTGCTGTACACGTGTATAAATCTATATGTTGCTATATACTGTAAAACTTAACTGCCTATAAATATGTATTGTAGTTTGTATAGCAATAATAACCAGAATTAAAACAAGCATTTGAAAAGCTTTTAAATGTATCAATATTGAAAACTGAATTATATATTGTGTGTGATACTGTACATTACATTACAGCAGATCTTATCGGCTGCAGATTACAAACAATTTATTTTATGACTCTTTGTTCTGTCTTTGTTTTTTATTAACAAAACCCGAGTGATGATTTGCCATGCCTCTGACTTTTAAAGCTCTTAAGGCTATGCACAAATCACATTGATATTTATGTTTTGCAATTTATAACATGTATAAATTCATGTAAGTTACATTTCCTAATGTTTGCTAATGCATTTGTAAGTTACAACATTTTGCATCGGATTATTAAAGACTATGCAAGTCTGTCTGTTCACAAAACGGTCTCGTCTCACTCTCTTTACTCCATACGTGTTCCATTTTAAACCCTATTAAAAATTCAAGTTCATTTCTAAGTAAAATTAATGTCTGACTCCTGAAAGTCTGAACAATCTGCGGGTTTCATTAATACACCTGACAGCTGTAATTTTAAAGGACGTTGTGATCACACTTCGGTGTATAAAATAGCCCAGATGTAAGCTCCATCTGTTTCATCGAGCCAGCACCTCTAACCTTGAGTGTTTGCAGTTTTTCTTTAGTTCATCTGATTGTGCAGAATAAATGACATGAGACTCAATGGTGGTGTCAAGAGAGAAGAGTCGGCATATTTATCCACATCAGTCAATGTCTTGTTTGTTAAACGGTGAAATAATTTGCTCCTGCTGCCTCTCATCTGATTAACCCTGATTTATGTATGATTATACAGAATTGATGCTGTTGATTCAGTCTTATAACAAAGTGAAATTGATCCGTGCGAGGTATTGTTCTATTACGCTGATGACGGATTATTGTCTGGTTGGGATGGGGGACTTTTAAAGCTTTATCTGAATTCTGTAGAGAGAGAGAAACACAGAGAGAGAATGTGTTGCCCAGAATAACCTAGAAAAAGATGATGATCACGTGTATGACCAGTGGTTTAAACCCTTTAGGATTACCTCTGGATTTCTCAATCTGTTACAGTATATAGGTCTGTCTGGCTACAGGCTGCTTTTTATTTTACTGAATGTGTTACAATTAAACTACAATTCAAGCACATGTTCAGTCAGTCAATATATGTATATATAATAGGTTTAAAACAATAAGATCAATCACTGATATATAATCGATTAATCACATTTTTTTTTGTAATTGACAGTAATTAATCGTACTTACTATTATAACTTATAATGAAAATGACAAATGACAGGGTGACACGCTGGCTCAGTGGTTAGCACTGTCATCTCATAGCAGGAAGGTCACTGGTTTAAATCCAGGCTGGGTCAGTTGGCATTTCTGTGTGGAGTTTGCATGTTCTCCCCGTGTTAGTGCGGGCTTCCTAAGGCTGCTTTAATTTCCGCTATAGGTGAGTAGAATAAGCTAAATTGGCCGGTGTGTATGTGTGTGAATGAGTGTGTATGGATGTTTCCCAGTATAGGGTTGCAGCTGGAAGAGCTGTGTAAAACATATGCAGGATAAGTTGGCGGTTCATTCCGCTGTGGTGACCCCAGATTATTATAGGTACTAAGCTGAAGGAAAATGAATGAATGAATGATAAATCACAAAATTCATTTTAAATATAGTTTCAAATCTTACTCAAAACACATATAGATGAAAAACAGATATAGATATATGGTTGCTCACTGGTATATATCTTAATAATTACCCTTTTTTTGTAATTGATAGTAATTAATCGAACCATAACAATATAATATATTATTTTTACAGTGTAATGCATTATTTCACATTTAAATTCCTGCTAAATGTATAAACAACATAAAGGCTGTTTATTTAAAATATTTGTAAACAGTTATTGATTCATTTATTCATTTTCTTTTCGGCTTAGTCCCTTTTAAACAATTATTAGAACTTAATAAAATTACAATTCACCTGTACCACATGTCTTTGGACTTGTGGGGGAAACCGGAGCATCAGGAGAAACCCGCGCGAACACGGGGAGAACATGCAAACTCCACACAGAAAACCCAACTGGCCCAGCCGGGGCTAGAACCAGGAACCTTCATGCTGTGAGGTGATTGTGCTACCCACTGCGCCACCATGCTTCTCTATAATAAACATTAATACATAATATTAAATTCACACTTATTTAAATGTCACAATGTCATGTCAAGAAATACAATACTTTCTGTAATTTAACCCATACTATATGTGGTTGTATAGATCTGTGTAGTTAAAATAAGCTCATGATCAAATAAAGTTATGCTGAGATCTCTGTTCTGTACTCACAGTTGTGAGGAACTGTTTATGCCTGTTGGCCACTAGCTGGAGCCAAAGACATACACAAGCTATGAAACCAGTTAACCATTTTTAGCTATTTATTTTTACTATAAGAGATTGACTAGTGTGAGATACTCTAGGATTAACGAGGAAGAATCAAATGTACATTTAGAGTCCCTCTGTTGGCTGATGCAGTGAGCATTGGCTTGATGAGTCTGATGAAAAGGAGAATAATAACACAGGCAAGATACAAAGTGAGCCGACTGTTAGTGCTGATTGTGTCTAATTCAGAGTATTGGCAAGAACTGGACAAAGCAACACCAACAGCACTCAAGATTGCTTCTGAAAACAGTCAAAGATAAATAACTAACAGAAAAAAGAGCTTACCACAGCAGCAGGGTGACCAGACATCCCGTTATTTTAGATCTTTTAAGAGTATCAACTTACAACCAAAAACTAAAAGGTTCTATATGACTATAAAGTTCTAGTAATGGCTAATATTTCCGTTAGGCAAAATAGACAGTGGTAGCCAGTCATGTCATGGTATAGTTTGAAGAACAATCTGACCATCGAATCGCATTTCTGTATCTTTGCTGATAGTGAAGGCGGAGTCTATCTTGGTCATGGGCGTTATTAGGTCTGCCCCATGCCATCATGTCGACAAGTGCTCGCGAAGGAAATGAAGTCGGACGCAAAATATATTTTCAACGGTTAAAGTAAGATGAAAACACGAATGAACATTGTAATGTATTTTTAAACAACGGTACAACTTCCTGAAATGTGTCCCGTCTCAAATAATTAAGGCTTTCAACTGCGGTACAACGTACAACATCTTGTTAGCTAAGTTAACCTACAGTGTAACGTAACACGTTACATTTGCCTCGCGTGATATAGTTCCCAGATAGCAGGCAGTAATCGGCCCGAGCTCGGCTGCCCTCCGGCGCCTCCGGCTCCGACTCGGCATCGGCGAGTGTTATCCGGGCCGAGTGCGGCCCGCAGCTCGCTCGCGCACATGCGGTTGTGATGCGGCTGTAAAGCACTGGCCCGATTCCGGTCAACCATATCCTGGCCAGGATTCGGCTGATGGCAACCGATTAAGTTCTTATTTTATCTAGTAATCTGTTAGCTCCACGTTTAATGATAATTTGAGAAAATATTCATGGTACGATAGCAAAAAAAAAAAAAAAAAAGAATATTTAGTGTGGATGGTCGCAATGTTTAGACGCAAACAAAACAATATTATTTATAAATAGATTATACATGTCATCTAGAGAAAAACTATGTAAAATTCGCTTATTTTTGAGATAGCACGCTCCTGTGCTGACTGTTTTTTTTTTAAAGCAGAAGTTGGTTTCATAATAAACACATGCGTAACTCCTGATCCAAACTCCAATCCAGACGGTGGCGGTAATGCTCCAAAAAGCTGGTTGTCAACCACCATGGCACGAAGATCACAAGAAGAAAAGTTTGGTTTTTCAAAGACTCACGTGGATTCCGGTCAGAAAGGTAAGCTTTTTACTGCTTGTGTTCTGTATAATTAGCGAATTTAGAGCTTAAAACATTTCCACGGTGTTTGGTTGTAACAGCGTTTAGTAATTTAAAACAGTTTGATACGAAATGTAACTTGCTTTAAGAAACACGACTGGAGCTAATGTATGCTAACGCTAACAGTTACAAACACGTCTGAAAGTTCCTTTTCCTTTTACACAATGTTAG